TTTTTCTCTCTCGTAGGTTTTCAACTGAAAACAAAATACGCACACGATATTTTCAGAGCGCAAATCAATATTCCAACTTGAAATGTCCAAGGCTGTGTGAATTTATACGCTGAACGAGTAATATTGAATAAAAGTGTTCACACAGAGTTCAATTGACATTTCGGTAGATAAATTCAAATTTAAAAGACAAACATAATGACAAAGAGACAGTTTTGCTTTGAACTTGCAAGTGACACGTGCGCGCCTCATTGAAATCCACATTCAATACGGCTCGCATACATATATTGACGAAAAATGTGTGTACATTTCGAACGAAATTCTATAAAGGAGTTGCTTTGACATGAAATTATTTCAAATGAAACCGAAGATTCAAAAGCGGAAAATTCAAATGTATTCAAATTTCAGTGGAAGTATTTTCAATGTAAAATGTGTACATGCACATATCGTTTGGACTCGTTTCGCACAACAATAACGAGTTGATGCTCAATAGCGTCTAGAAAATGGTAACACAGTTACAGTAGCCCAGCTCTTTGTTGCGGTCTTTGTTGCCTCATCAGCATATTCGGATTAGTATGTAATTTGTAAAATTGATCTGCGACTGCGAATTGTCTTTCAACAATCTATTGCTTTGTGGCATTTCGGAAAATTTAAATAATATGCAAATTCACTGAACAATTTAACTTGATTAAATAAAGAAAATATTGATTGAAAATGCGTATAATTTGAATGTAACGCGACCAATATGCGTTTTTTTTCTCTTGACTTGTCCGTCAGAGAAAATTTGAATCCTAGCAGTGAATGAGTTTCAAATCTAATCTCTTTGATTCAAAAGCGCTTGTGTTTTGGTTTCTTGTTACAGTTTTCAAGTGTGGAAAAAATGTTGAAAAATTTGGAAATCATTAAATAAATTCGGCAAACCATGCGCCAAACACAAAGAGAATTCGTCTAGGCGTAATTTTAAATAGCAACGCTATAATTATTTGTACACTTATACACTTATAATTCGTGATTCACCAAAAAAAAAAATACACAACAACCGAGTGAAAAGTGTTTGAAGTTTTTCACCCGATTTTTCGGTGTCTTGTGTTTTTTTTAGCATGACGTCAGCAAACGCGCTGAACATCGCCATATCTTTTTGATCTTTACGGCTCAAGAATAGAAAAAACAACACAACACAACAAACTGATATCTATGAAAGGGAAGCGGCGCCACAAATTAGAATCATTTTTGCTCCGTTATGACCATTCAATAGAGCTAGTGAACGGAGCAGAATGAGCACATCAAATGCATATACAACAATGCTCACTGGCCAAAATTGATATGATTGGGTGTGTGTGTGTGTTGTTCATCATCGCGCTCATTACCAATTTACTTATTCTATATAAGCACGAGCAACTCTTTGATTAACATTCGTTCTTCATGTTGTTTTTTTTTTTTATTCACACTGATGAGAGATGAGAAAACATGGCGCATAAAGAAAAACCGAGAGCTGTGAAGTGCGCGTGTCATCGTTGATTATAGAAATAGTTGAAAAATGACGGCAATCTATAATAAAACTAAATAGCATTACAATTTTGATTCATTGAAAAAAAAATATGGAAAATTACAAAACACTTTCGATTTAATTTACTATTAGTCTTCTTTTCGGATATGCATATATTGAAACAATATTCAATAGATGATTTTTTGGTTGATGATTGAGGCCACTGCATTCAATTTGAAGGAATTTTTTGATTATAATGTATTGACATTCATTGTTTCTTCACGATCGATTATTTATATGCATCGAAAAGCGGTCACTTTAGATTCGTCAGGGTGATTAGGTTGAGCTCACCATTTTTTTGTTTCGTCGCATTCAATTCGACTCATTGAACTGTAAATTAATCGTTAAATCAGTACGCGCAATTTTACTATGCCATTTGATTTTGTGCTGTTGTACGGTGCTATTTGATTTTGTAAAATCCGAAACAAACACGTGCGTCTCTGCATTTGTAATTCAAATAAAGAAAGGGTCTTTGATTCCACCATATGAAATACAGATATTTATTTCAAATGTGCGATTCTTTTACAGTTTTTTTTGTATGTGTGAAATCAATAGTCTTTTTATTGGACCAAGTCATACAAAAATAACAATAGCCATAAATTTTGAACACATCTTATGACCACCGACATAATATCGGACGAAGTTCGGATTATAAGTGATGCGAAGATCTCACTACATTGAACCGTACATTATAATGAATTGTTACGTTTTTTTGGTTTTCTTCATTTTTTTAATGCTTAAAAATACCCCTTTGTATATTAATACGGAATCTGCGCCGAGTGTATCGATCTCTGCTCAAACTAACAGGATATCGCTTCAATAATGGTGTCCATTTATTCAGTAGTAGACAGAGATGTTTCGGAAATCCTTTATATTTCCGTGTAGTTTCCTCACAACATTTTTATGTTTTTTGTCATTTATTTATTTTTAACGCCAATTTTACTACAGTCGAACTCTGATAATTCCAATTTCATTCATTTGAATATTCTTCACCATGCTAAGGATGTTTACTGATATGAATGGGCCAATTGTTCGAATTGTGAGTGCCGAAGTGATAATCTTATAATTCGTCATATTTTGATGTGAAAAAAAGAATGGGAGGCATATTTTTTGGTCGAATCGAAAAAAGTAGTCTTCAAGCAATGGAGAAGCGCTCTGAGGAGCAATTGCTTTTGAATTTTGATATTTTCCTCCTCACTGAGGACAAGATTTACTCCTCATTTCTTCTCTGGCTCCGCAGGACTTTCCTCCTCACATTTATTGCTCTGGGAAACCGTCTTTGATTTCAAGGGGTTAACACATCACCAGAACAACCCTAACCCATGTTGAGAAAGTATGCTGTATACCGTTCATCTATAAAAACATTAACAATCGATCAAAGTCTCGAGGACTTTGAGAATATTTCTACAAAGAAAAAGAACAATCGTTTTTTGTTGATGTCTTATTAATTACTCGTTTTCGACTGTGCGTAAAATCGAAATTGAAAAAAAAAAAAGAGTTTGTATGAAACAGCGCAGTATATAATTAGAGAATGTTTTGAAGAAACCAATTTTCTTAAATATTTAATGGCATTTTTTTATAATTCATTTAGTTGTATTGTCGATTTTATCCCGTTTGATTTTAATTTCTTGAAATAATTATTCTCAATATCAAAGCTTACACTAACATTTTTCAAATTCAACTTATTTATTGAATTTCAATGGATTTCTTTTTTTTTTCAAATGCAGCTAAAGTAAAACCAAACAAATATCTATTACCGAGAATTAAAATTCCAATTTTTTTTAACCGAAAAAAAGAAATCCTTTTTTCTAACAGCCTTCTGTCGATTCTTTTTTTAAATGTATAATTGATAAAGTTTTCTTCAAAGAAACCAGCAAGCTTGATTAAAATGTCCAAACAAAACGCAGTAAATAGAGAGGGAGTAAAAACGTGTCGGAGGCAATCAATGCCTTTTACTTCAGCAGCATTTTCTTCATCGATTTGAGCTAGCGGAAAACTTTAAAATCGGTTTTTTATTCATAATTACTCGAATTTAATTGAAATACGAAGGGTGACATACAGGTAGTTATTTTCTTTAATTATCTCACGGCGTAGCGAAAGAATTTTTTTGTTATTTCAAATGGTATTCCCTTTGGTTCATTCAAACAAAAAAAAAAAGCCAGTGAGCCGGTGAGTTTGTGTTGCTTACAATACACGCGATACAATGAAAATGTAAATAAAATTTATTGATAACCGTCGACTGAAGTAATTCGATGGAAAACGCACATAAGCCACCAGCCAAAGACGCCACAATTGTCACGAAGTTTTATTGTCGTGTGCTAATTAGAGATTTATTGATTCACTAATCACTTTATGCTTACACATTTTTATCCGGCACGGACATACAAAAAGAAATACGATTCAATAATAAATTGATATGTCGTTCCACATGAATTTCGGATATTTAAAACAATAAGTAATTTTTCATGCGTCGTGTTATTTTTTTTTATTTCGTTGTTATTGAAATAATATTAGGGCATTTAGACGCACAGCGAAAGGATTTTCAGTAAATACTCAAGTAATTATAGACATGTCAAATAGCTTAGGACCGAATGTGTGTTTGTGTCATTCATTTCGGCTTTTTTTTCCAAATGTTGAGTGAGGATAATAACACTTTTTAGCATAAAAACGTTTGGATAGGAAATGTCACCTATGTCATCAATTTAAACACACATTTGCAGGTGTATAAATGTTTCGTTTAGATTGGGCGGAGATCATAAATGGCTTTTAATTGCTACTCATCAAAAATAGAATTGTCAAACTAAATCATATTTGTGCGGAATCTTTTAACCATTCTTATTTATTCATGGCGACATTATTTTGGAAACGACACACCTCATGAATTACTAAAAAATTGATGTATTAAAATACGAAGTTTGCTATGCATTCCATTTCCGAAATGTGGTTTTTCATCAACACATTCCAATTGAAATTAATTGATCAAATTTTCAGTAGTTTTTTCTAATAAAATGAACATTCAAAAATCGCGTTCAGCGCTTTTACTCAATTCAGAATGAAGTTAGACGCAAATCGGCCTCAAACTTTAATGGAATATTCGATGGAAGCGGTTGACTTATATTTTTCATGAAGTAACTTCAACGGTGAACTTTAATAATGAGACTTTAAATAAATAATATGAATGGTATTGAAAACAATTGAGACACATAGTTTTGATATTATTATTTTTTTAAATTCGCTATGAATTGATAATTGCTATGAGAATTTGCGTTTTAAAAGGAGAGACGAGAATAATATTCATTCTGAGCGAAAATTCCCCTTTGAATCATAAGATAAGGAACAGCATCAAAGTGATGTTTATTCAGTTATTGTTCGAGTATTGTGATTGTGTTCTTAGAATTTTTTGTTTATTTCACTCGGTGCAATGAGCACTTAATTTTCGTCCGTTATTTTTTGTTCGTTTGACCTCGATTAAGATTATCACCAGAATATGTCATACTGTTCAGTATAAAAAACATACGTTTTGCCATATATTCGCGTGAATTTTGTTCAGTATAAAAAATAAAAATGTTAATGTGGACACTATTTGTTGGCCTTGCGATCGGCTATACTAACGGTATTTTAATTTTTGGAATTTATTTTTATTAAATTATAACATTGATAAAAATTGTTGAGTGGAATAAAAAAAAAGAATAATTTCTCTAGCTGACTGCGTCCTTTCCTTGCCGAGATTTCAATTTTTTGCTCCGTTGATATTCACTGTGGACGGTGAACTATTGCCGACGGATAATTTTGAAGAAAATGCACGTAGCATTACCATTCCATCCAATCAGGACGTGATTCTATCTTGTGCCCCAAACTACTTTAAAACGCCGAGATTGAATAGCACAAAATGGTTAACCGCCAAATGCAAAAGCGGCAATATTTTTGGTATGTAGACCTGTGTATTTATGACATAAAATTAAAAAAACAGTAACTAAAACGTTAAAAATTAACCTAATAGAAGTTGATGGTGTCGAAAAGAGTTGGACACTCGATCTGGGATGCGAAGTTCGGTCTGTGGAAGAGGTATTGAAATCAATTTCCGGGTGTCCCAATGAAGCAACTTCCGTTGAATTTGGTTACGAAAATCCAGTAAAACGAAAATCTCAAGTTATTGGTGAAGCGTGCTATTCGGAGAACAATGGTCGCACTATATTCGTTCATACGAAATTCGACGGGAATAGCAGCGAGAGAAGTGCTGTGTTGGAAACAGAAGGTGTAAACTATTTGGCACAAAACCACCCGGATTCATTGTATAAAATTAATTTTTTATTAGCATCTCGAATGGATGAATTGAATAATCGCCTTGAAAAATTGTTATCCACTAAAAAAGTTCCATTCCTTGCAACACGTCATTTAATCGATCTGCCGATTTTACAGAATGGACAACTTTATTCGGCATTAAAATTGGGATGGAATTATGTCATTTCGAATGGATTTGATTACTTGCCGAATTATGATCTGTTGATCAAGGATATTATGGGGCTAAGTATTAAAAATTTTGATTTATACTTGGGAACTCATTCAATTCTCTCATTACTAAATGGTGAACGGGGAGACGGTATTAAAACGTATTTGTATTTGCACCCGGATGAGCAAAAGTATCCCGTTCCGGAATATTTATGGATAGTCGTTACTACTGAATCGGAGAAAGCTGTTGGTTTCTTAATTTCAAATAATATTGACGCAGAGGAAGCAGATTTGATTAAAAACGCACCATGCCAAAGTAAATGCGCCCAATTGTCGTGGATGTCAAATCTATTTGAGAATGATTCATATAAAAAACCGAAGAATGGATTTGTGTTTTGCTGTGAATTAAATGAATTCATGAAAAAAGTCACCGAAATGCCATCGTTGGAGGGTCAATATTCTTTATTAGATAGAATATCGTATCGAAATATTTAAAATTTAAATCTTAATAAAGGAAAATAGCAAAATTTCAATGTAAAATGTAATTAATTCATTTTTGGTTTCTTTTTTTATAAAAATAGCGATTAATGGTTTTTGAATATTTTTTTCCTATTAAAATTTATGAATCAAAATGCACGAGAGCCTTTGGCAATTGACTTTAGATAAGGAAGCGGTAATCTAACTTCAACCTGAAGACTAATCCATACAAGTTGAAGATCTCGTCAAACAGCATTGACCAAATGTGTTTAAAGCGATGTTCAATCAACGATTGGTATGATTCCATCCTGCATTTCATGGTGAACTTATGCTGAAGAATTTATTTGTATATTGTTGTGAATTTAGCGATTTCAGGAAATTTACTCATAGAAATACCATAGTTAAAGGGACAATACATTATTTATTAGATCGAAATATTTGAAGCTTTATAAATAGAATAAAAAATATTTGAAATTATTTGGAAAATAGCGAAATTTCAATGTTAAAAAGTTTCACTTGATACGAATGTATGTTGCCAATATTTCTTAATTCATTGCATCATTACTTTGATTTTTCGATTTCTTCTTAGAAAATATTGCGGTTGGGGCCAATATTTAGTACATTACATATATCAAACAATTTTTGTATTTTGATTAAATGTGAACCTTAACCTGCCTGAATCCAATGAAAATAAATAATATATTTGACTTTGAGTAAACAGCTTAGATTGGCATAATAATGTAATCAAAACATGCCCGTTTAATTATTTCTGATTATTTCGTACTTATAAAAGCACTTCTTCTCAAAATAGAACAGTTCACGTTAATAATCGAAGCAGTATAATTCTCAGTTCATAAAAATGGGCAAATTCGTTCTTGTAAGTGTTCAAGTGATTTTTTATTTAATAATGATGACTTATACTTATAATAAAATTTCATAATTTGTTTAGGTATTTTTCATCGCACTTGCTTTGGTCGCAATGACTTCAGCTGTTGGTACGTATTTTTTTGAATATCTTTTCTTTTAATATTTGATTTCAAAAATGCATTATTTAAGCAGAAAAAGATACATTTATCGCATTTTTCATACTGTGATTTCAATTTCGGGGCAATGTTTTTGACGAAGTTTAGTAAGAGTTTTTAGGAATGGGTCGTTATTAAGAAATAGCTAAATAGATAAGCCAGATTAGGCTAGTAAAATTGTGTTCACTTTTCCGTAATATTGAAATTCCAACGCTGAAATTTGACATTTATCTGGATTTCCACTCAAAATTTCAATATATGGATGCGATCATACTCCATTTTTTTTAAATTATACTTTTACTGCAGTTCCAATGTTACTATAATTTGAAGAAAATGTCTCTGTAGATATCTAACATTACTTTTATTGATTTTATTTTTCCACCAGGCGAGAAATGCACACACAATCCTGATTGTGCAACAAATCTTTCATGCAGAAATGGTAAATGTATAAATGCCTGTCCAACTGAGTGTGCCAATAAAAATCCCAGCAAATGTACAACTATAAGTCATGTGCCTCAGTGTAATTGAGGACTTCTCACACTTGACATTGACTTTAATGAAAAAAGTGCCACGACCCATTTTGAACATAAGATCCAACGTTAATGGGTTATCTGATGCGTAGTTTTTCTATTTACAATTAAATTTTTTGTAATAAAAACTCAAAATTTAATAAATGTAATGAATTTGATCATATGGTAAAAAATGAAGGCGTTTTCTTTGAGAAAATATTTATTCAAATCGTATTAAGAGAAATAAATGAATGTTCTTCACAGCCTTTCAGAAATGTAGTTATTTAAATCTTATTGCGCTCCTTAGTTCGTCGTATGCAAATACATTCTTTTTATATTGAATATTGTATTGTAAAAGAAGGTAATTTAAAATTTTGTATCTTATCGTACTTTCTTGCTCAAAAATTTAAATTAGTTGATAAAATTAAAAGTCGTTGTTGTATTCGGTGTTTCTTGACTGAAAACTGTTCTTTTTTTTTTAAATCAATTAGTATGTCAGCAATGAAAGGAAAATCTGTATGTTCCAGATGAAAAGAAATATTATATTACCTAAGTGACAATAAGCAATTATTCGCTGGTTTGAACAAAATTAAAACCTAAAAGATGTGAATGTTTTCACTTTGAATGGTGATTTCTCTGATGAACTTTCATTGTGATGTTAATTATTCGATTTATGAAAAAAGAGCTATATGTAGGTTAGCTGCATAAAGGTCATGATCTCAGAATGAAATTATCTCGTCTTTGTTTTTGTTTACTTAGAAAAGTTGTTGACAGAAGGACACACAAGGTTCGACTTTTAAATAATAAAATACAAAGTATCAATATATAAACGAGAGAAATAAAAAAAAAAACATTTCAGATGCCCAGCGGACAAATTTTAATGAATATCGTAGGATTTGAACATGAGTTATATCGACTTTTGCTTGAAAATGTATGAAAATGCATAGAAATTTGGTTGTTTGCTATAAATGATGATACATCAAGCAAAATATATTAAGGAAAGAAAACAAAATTAATTTGTTTTTATTTACGACAGTTCAAATAAGATAAATTATTAGAAAATACTTACTATATACTGACGCAATTTTTAGCATTATCGAATGCCAAATCACAAACATTATGAAAACGCAATTGCATGTTTCAGTCAAACCTACGAAGTGATTTATTTCGCTGTATACAGCTCATCAGTGAAGCTTTCTAGGCCAGTACCAGTTTGTCAATTTTTTTTCAGTTTAGCTAAAAATGATATTTTTGTGATAAAAATAGCCCTTTGAGCAAAAAAACTTTTCCTCCTCAGTTGAGGAGGAGGATCCTCCTCGCTCTCCTCCTCCTCCTCATTTTCCTCCTCCTCAGAGGAACAATCCCTGGTTCCTAGGAAGCTCAATGAAAATAAAATGTCTTACATCCGTAAGATGAACTTTTCCGCACTGTAATCCACAGCATGCATTTATTACATATCTTTTATTGAATTCATTTGATGGAATCGAATTTATTTGAATTCACGAGAAAACTGAATCTGACATTAGTTTTGCGATACAAATAATTTTTGATACGTACACTTTTCAATGCCTGTATAATATCCTAATGACGTGAAACTTTGTACAGGGTATTTTTTTCACAAAAAGCTGACATTCTGAAAGTTTGAAGAAATTTCAATACAACTTAGGGGTACTTCCACGAAAATTTTGTATGGGATGTGCTCCCAAATATGAAATTTCTTTAAATTTGCTGAGATTGTGTATTTTGGCAAGAAAATAAGATTCACAAGTTTTTATGGTGATTAAATTACTTCAAACAAACATTTATTGCGTTTTACTTTTCCGCACACCCACTGTGTGCAGTAAAGTATTGCAATCACTCCAAAATTTTAAAATCACCAAAAATCTTTTGGGGATGTGGTACACTGTAGGCAAAAATTAGTTAACACGATAACTCTTCTTGGAGAAAAGCAACTCCAAATCTGACTTTACATGGTGATCGGCTGGTATTGTTCTTGAGCGATATTCGTGTATCCATCGTAGACCCATAAGGGGTGTGGCATGCAAAAATTTGTTAACTCGATAACTCTTTCCCCAGAGACGAAAATCAAAGTTTGAAATGTGTATTGGAGGGGTTTTTTGGCACGAGAAAACCAAATCCGATTTTTGAGATATAATCAAGTTTTAACAGAGTTTCTTTGAAAAAATTACAAAAAAATGAATTTTGCACAGGCTATTTTTTACACGATAAAATAACATTCTGAAAGTTTGAAGAAATTTCAATCAAAATTAGGAGTACCTCCCATTTTTGCCAAAATTCGAAAATTTTGTATAGGAAGTACCCCTACTTTACTGCTCGAAATTGTAATTCGGCAGTTATTGAATTAGTACTGCACTACCAGTGCATGTTCAATATCTTTCGAGAAATAAGTATATATATTTTCGGTAAAAAAAGAAATGTGTAAACAGTGCGGAAAAGTTAGACTTACGGATGTAAGTTCCTTTTTATTTATGATTCGAAATTGAACGAATTTTTTGTCCAAACTGTGTAATTACAGTAATTTAATTGCAGTGAAACTTGTAAATATCATTTCCTTGCCAAACTACATAATCTCAGCAAATTTGAAGAAATTTCAATGTATATTAAGGATACTTCCCATACAACATTTTCGTTTTTGATCGAAAAATCCAAAATTTTGTTCGGGAGGTATCCCCAATATGCATTGAAATTTCTTCAACATGTGTAAAGTTTCAGCTCATTACGATATCATACACTGTGACATTCTATATTTGTAGACACACGAAAAAAGTTTATTTTTTAAAAAAAATCTCAAAAGATGGCGCGCTCGACAACGTTCAAAAACGTTCAAGTGTCAAACATCACTTATGTCATGTGTGGCATTGTTCAACGCGCCATAAGTCAAATTCTACAATGGTTACTATATTTATCATTTGTAGAATTACTATGAATTTTCGTAGTAAATTTACAAATATATTTGAAGTCTACGTGTTTGTAAAATTACTACGGAGATTCATAGTAAATTTACAAAAACGTCCAATTTTCATAATTTGTAAAATTATTATGAAATTTTGTAGTAAATTTACAAATGATGTAAATTGGACGATTTTGTAAATTTACTATGAATTTTTGAGGTAATTTTACAAATATATTCAATATAGGTTTTTGTAAATTTACTATGAAATTTTATAGTAATATTACAAATTTTGTAAAATTAGTATAGTATTTCATAGTAAATTTACAAAGACTTCATATTTTCATATTTTGTAGAATTACTATAAAATGTCATATTACATTTACAAATTTTGTAAAATTACTATGAATATTCATAGTAAATTTACAAAA